GAATTTACTGTCAGATAACAGCTAAAGAAGAAATTCCCTTGCAAACTGGGGATGTACTCTTGTTTACAGAGTAAAGAAAGCCACTAAATAAATCCAAGATCCAGTTGGAGTATGACCTACCAACAACTTTTTGCAGAACTAATCATTAGAAATTCACATTCCACAGAGGCCAATATTAAATTGAGTTGCTGCCATGTTAGTATGGTCTTCTGGTCTATTCAATAAAATTCTGGCTACTTAAAATGCTGAGGGATAACTTCTGTTTTTAGTTATACTGATGTCCTCAATTGAAATCATCAAGAATAATAGCCAAGAGAAGTGTTTAATGCACAGTATTTATTTAAAGAAATGTTCACATTAATTCAGATTTTATTATCCTTCCATATCAGCTATGCAGTGAAAAAGACATCTCCATACAATGCATACACAATTTTTTATCATGACGAAGATTAAGAATACCATGTTTTGCAAAGATGATGCTTTATAAGCTTGTAAAAAAAAAAGAACCGCTTATTCAAACCATACCCAAAACAAGACAACTGTGTAACAGTCCTCCTAGCTGACCTCCAAAATCATCAGCAGCAATGACCTCTAAAAAAGCAGATTTTCCTTCTGTATTCACTCAACTCTCAACTCTTACTCAGAGAGCACTGAAGCAACAAGATACAGTCAAGGCACCTGAACAGTATTTAAGTGCATTGATATTTCTCACACAACTTACTGCTCAGGGATTTTGTGTTGTCATATATATCCTACAGGCGGTATGTCATTGTTACCAGTTTCACCTACACTTAATAACTTGTAAAACACATGTCATGAAAGCCCTGAATAGTGAACACTAACAGCACCTTAAATAGATAGCCTTAAACACAATCATCTGGGGAAAAAGTGACGCAGAAACAAAAACTAATAGTTTCTAAACCTCACCATTATCTCAGTAAACTAACTGCCAAACTAAAGCACAAAATGGAATATAGAAAATACCTGATACCAATTTGCTAGGCTTCTCTAGGGTCGCTTCAAAATTTTGAGAAGATTAAGAGTTTGCTATGGCAAATACAAACTCAAACATAGTAATCAGAAGCAGAGAAGTGTCTGATGAACAATTATATAATACAAACAATATTAACCACATTATCCTGTCTGTGGAATCTGGGAAAAAAAATACACTCCAAAATTGCAGAAATGTTAAATGTAAAATACTTCTTGCAGACTTTCAATCCAAGGGAAACCAACTTATTACAGTATTTGTCGGAGCCTGGTTGTAATTAAATACAGGAAGGATATTAAAACTTCCAAGAGATTTTTTTTTTTTTTTTAAGCCACAACAGAAGAAAAGGCACAATTGCATAATTGGAACCAAATCCAAAACCCACTTCCTTCTTATTTACTAGCATCATCTAAAGGACACTATTTAGATGCTGAAAGGTCTGGAGCTGACAACTGCAAATCATCGAAAAGTCAAAAATTTCAAAGGAATTGTATGACATGGGTTAAAAGTTTATAGATGAGAGATATAGAAAGTTAGTACTCACTGCAAAACCACATCCTAGCAGTCACCGTATCTCTCTCGTCAATAAAAACCTAGAATTCTATTTTGTTGTGGGGAAAGAAATCCTCTTTGGTAGTAATAAGCTGCTGCTCTAAAGCTATAGGGCAAAAATGTTTGATATACAGAATTTGCAAGAAAGATGTCTTTTTAAGATATTCTAAAAATAACGTTTCTTTAGTAAACAGGATTTCACTTGTCATTTGGTTCTACACAGACCAGTTAAATATGAAACAAACTTGCCAGTCAGTGAGATATTTCTTTAAAAAGCTTCAGATTGTTTTCATTGACAGCTGAATTCAGATCAGTGCTCTTTGTCACTAACGTATCTGTGCAGGAAATTAATATCAAAAGCATCCTCCAGCCCTCCCACCCCCCACCCCCCCCAAAAAAAAAAAAAGAGGATTTTAAAATCCTCTTGCATTTCTATAAGGCACGCAGAAAAGTGGTAGCACAGACATAGATGGACGTGTACATGATAGGTTTTTTGATATAAAATACACCAAGCAGTTTTCAGAGATTTCTAATTATCTGTGTTTTAACCCTAGAGGTTTTTTTTTTCCCTTTCTGACATTGCTAAAGTCATCGACACTGCCCAGTGAAGACATATGTATAGGCCAACTTCATAATTCTCAGTTCAGATGAAGCGATGGACAAAAGGTTCAAGCACGCTGCTATCTTAGTTCAGTGCATGAAATACTGACAAAAGCCAAAAGTTTCATACAGGTCCCTGCTGTAATAACACTATTAATAGGAGGATGGCTCAGGAGTGCTTTTGTTCTACGCACAGAAAAAAGATTCCTTTTTTCTCATTAGAAGTTACTACACTCCAGTGAAACTCACACTGAAGGAAAAGTTATCATGATGCATGTTTGACCTCTAGATCCCACCATTAATCAACTGCAACAAGAACCTAACAAACTAAAAGTCTACAACTTCAGGATCCTTATACTTTTGGCAGCATCCGTGAGAGACTTCAAAAAGCCATTCTTTTTAAACATTCATCAAATGAAGAAGAGCTAGCTTTAGATATCTCAGCTTGGTATGTAAAAACATAATCCCTTTGAAACCATGGATCTTTCAAGAACCTGATCATATCACAGTAATTGTCTAACTTTCCTTTTAAAAAAAAACAACAGAAGTACTACAAGAGCATTTTCTTCTTTTTACATTCATTTTTAGATTTGTGCCACTCCTTCTTAGTACACTCACCTTCAAAGACTTACAAGTAACCACTAGTTTTGCAGAAAGAAAGAAAACAAACCAGGAAAACTAGATAATTCTCAGAGAGACTCAGCTATCAGTTATGTTTCTCTTCATTTTAACACATTTTTTTAATAGCAATGATCACATGGGTTTATTTTTGGTACCCCAGCACCTCATCCATAAATATTTTTTCCAATTTAATAAATGTTCTCATTACAGTCTTGGGCCAGCACCCTAAAGCTAGTTTGGACTGAAGTAATAGGGTTATCTAAGCCAAAATAGCTGTTTTCTGAATAATAACTTGTACTCATGCTCCATTCCAAAATACCAACTTATTTCAGTTTAATTTACCCAACACTGAAGTAAATAAAACCACTTATTTTGTAATAAGAGTGTGCATGTATGGAATTACTTCTTCATAACTTTTAGATAACTATAATTTGAAAACAAGCACTGAATGAGTTAATGTTTTAAAAAAAAAAATCACTAAACTGTCCCTTACCATGTAGTGCTTCTTCAGCTAAGCACATACAAGTCAAACACCGCACATCATGCTTTGTTCACTAACATCTACCCAAGTCTTCATTCCCTTTCTTGTGTATAACAGTGAGTGGCCTAAAGGATGATGATGTGGAACTTCAGATGGAAATTTTGCAATATGAGAACACTTTTGTGCATAGCCAATCTATCCTAAGCAAGGAAAAAGATTCTAAAGACAAATGAGGTGACAAAGTGAAATAAGAGAGTTACAGCAACACCTAACTTAAACTGTTCTTATTTTCAACATTTGAGAAAATCCCAAATAATAATCAAGAAGCCTCCATTAAAAAAAGCCAAAAAAGTAGAACAAGGAATCAAAAAATAACAGAATGACTCTGGAAATTAACAGAAATTACCAGAAGTCCTTTCAATAAAATTAGATATTAAAATGATCAAATAGAAGCTGCCATAATATGAAGCTCTATGGTATCGTAAGCAAGCAAAAAAAAAGACTTCCATATATATACAAAATATTTAATAAGAGTTTAACGTATATTTAAAATATTTTTATAAACTGCTTATTACATTTTTCAAATACAGACACAACATTTACAAATATACATAAGTATGATGAAGAGTTCAGTCCTCACAAACGTTTCTGAAACAACTTAAAAAGTCTTTGCTGATTTAAGCAAGGGCTTCCCCTCCGTTGCAGATCTGATTACAGTAGGTATTCAAACAAGAGCAGCCTCAATCATTTGCCCTAATCACTATTATCATACAGTGATATAGGTGAGAAGGAGCCTTTGGAGATCATCCTGTCCAACCTCCTGCTCACACCAGGGACAACATTTTGCACAATGGGCATCCTTATTGCCTCTCAAATGTACTGACAGGTATAATGTGAAGAAAAACGCAATTGAATGAAGAGGAAAATAATGGAGTGCTTTAGTAGCTTTAATTAGGACTGCATACAGTTTTGATGAACAATTTAAAACAAACACAAAAATTCCTTTGCACCAGATACCTGCTGGTAGCAACTGGGTATCTACATCAGCAAGACAGTGTGTCATCCGATCATGCAGCTCATACCAACATCACCTCCTTTTCGTGAGTTACAAAGCATTGCACCGATGGTGCTTACATGTTCAGAGACAATGTAAAGTTCTCATTCTTTGTGGTATACGGCATACCTTTCATGATCAAAACATCTTTGTCTTAGCAATTTTGATGAGATTTCTCTTTAGTGTGCCTAGAGAAAAAACTGCATCTTCAAACTTACTCTATTTTTTAATTCCCAGAGCCAAAAGGCAGACCTCCCGGATTACATTACTTTGACACTTGGGTGATACTTGATTACCCTGGGGTTTTGACACAAGTAATTCAGTCACTCTGGTAGTAAATATTACCCAGTGCCAAGGCCTCCCTTCCAAGAGTAGTTTCACCATTTATGCTCGTCTATCTCAAATTATTTATTACAACTGTTACTCAGGGATATTATAAACCTTGATTAAGCTATGCTTTCAAAAAACATGGAGGTCTTTTGTAAAAAGCAAAAGTCAAATGTAATAGAGAGGTAACTATAACCATGTCATCTAAAATGGTCAACTACCAAAGCAGCAGAATAAGGAGATTGTCACTAATGCCATTATTGTAATTACTGTTGTTGTCATTAGTTGTACTAATTTACATTAGTTTATGTCAAAATGGTATTCTTAGGTTCAAACATCTACACAACTAGAAGCAATTTTTTTAAAAATCCTACCTGAGATGACAACAGATTGCAGTCAATGTGCAGTCCTTTCCCCGTCTTATACCTCTGAAGTAAACCAGCCATAATTGCTCCGTATGTATACAACCCAGTAGCAAGATCTGTCATGGCTACTCCTGGTCTAACTGGCTCACCATCCTAAAGAAAAAGAAGAAAACACCTCAAGACAAAACAAGACAAATGAAAAAGAAAAAAAAAAAAAAAAAAAAGAAGAAAACAATCAGAGGCAAACCATTAATTTTTGATACCATACATTCTATACGAGACTCATCTGAAAAAGTGCAGACATGCTTCTGCATTGCCAACTGCAAAAAATAAGAGTATCTTTGAGTGAACTGAAGTATAAAAACTACCACTGAAAACCAGGTATTCTTGCAGTATCTATGCAATAAGGTAACTTTGCAATGCTGCAGACTGCAAATTGTGAATGATTTATTATGCTACTTTTTGCCTTAATAACATAATGCTTCAACTCACCCATGCAAAAAGAAAAGAGGTACTGTTAGAGACAAGAGAATCTAGTGAAAACTGAATTTCATTATGCCTAGAAACCAAAGGTCTAAAGGATTTCCACAGCCTGCTGACCCGGGTGCATGCCTGTTTGAAAGGCAGAACCAGATCGCTTCGCTCTTCTCACTCTGGACCCGCCCCAGCCAAATCTCAGTTTTGTAATTTCCAGTATACACACTCCAGGCTTCTAGTGGGAAAGCAAAAGCAAGTTTGCTTTGTTTACACATGTAAATACATGCAAATTCTTAACCTTCTGACCAGTAACCTCTGGAAAGCAGTTGGCTCAAATACCCTTTTTCAGTATGTCATCCCTTTTTCCAGCATCAAGGGAAGAATCTTCATTTTACACCATGTGTTTCAGAACTTCCCCTGATCACTGGCATGAGGTATGGCCTCTCTACAACCAATGGCAAAATGAACTTATAATTTCAGTCAAGGTAGGCTTGTACCAGAGGGGATTCTTCTGAGACGTTCCCTCATTTTCTACTTTGAAAAGTTTGTGGTTGGACGCTCAGATTCTGACAGCAATTGCTTGCCCTGAAGTACAGTCCACAAATAGCAGTGCAAAGCTAACAGGACTGTTTCAGAGTTTCAGCACCTAAGTGTATCACTAAACAAATTAAAATCAGGATAACTGATAAATAATAACTGCTTGTCAAAGTTCACATAAATGCCTTTAAACTAACCCAGCAAAAATTCAATAAAATTGAATTTACAGAATTACATCACTTAGTCATGTCTAAACTGCTAAGGGTAATCATACTTTAAGATTGCAAGTGTTATGCTTACCGATAATTATATACAAAAGAGTATCTTGGCTTCACATAAAAAAATTAAAACTTATCTTCACCATGTTTTTTTTTTCTTTTGCACTCCATCAGGGTTTACATAAGTCTGATATCAAGTCTTATATAAGTTAAAAATTATTTTAAGAATAATAATATTATATTGCATCATCAATTGCATTAATGGGTCAATTCTGGGATAAAAGACTGTAGTACAGTATTTTCTATGCAAGATGGAAAAGGCTGCTATTTTATTCACATCATAAAGTGGCTAAACAAAATTATAAAATCTGTATCAAATATGACAAATTTTTTTTAAAAAAAAGTATCTCAGTTATTGTCATTCAAACTGCAGTAAGGATTAGTCTGTGACCATCTATAGCCTAGATATTAAGGATGATGCAGAAACGACACATCCTTAAGGTAAACACTGCTTTAGGAAGTACTTCTTTTTTGAAGAATCTCTTATTTCTTCCTTCTCCGTGCTCTTCTTCAGCTTCCCAATAGAAGGGACAAGTCAAAGGTTCCAGCCATTTACCACTTCTCCTTGTACCCAACTCTGGGGGAACACAGGAAAGGATGTTCGGTAGTTTTATGCACGTAGGCCTACCAAAAAAACTAATCAGCATGTGAGAAGGTTTTTGCTCCTCAGAGCTATCATTGAAAAATACAAATGAAAAAAAAATATCATTTCCCCTGTATTATCTGCTGCAAGTTCTCAGTTTATTAAATTGTTCTTTCTTCATTACAGCCACAACACTGGGATGGGAAGAAATCAAGAAGACTTAAGATTTTGCAAACAGCTGTGCAGCAATGTTCTTGTTTTGAAAACACTTCCCACTGTTTTCAAAGTGTCATTAATTTCACCCTTGATGGAGAAAGCTACACTTTGAACATATAAAAACCAGGACTATTTTAAGAGATTGCTACATATGAATTTGTCTTCTCAAACCTTGATTTCAGTGCTTTTGTCAACAAGTAGTAAGCTACCTAATGTTTTAAAGCAAACAGTTCCTTCTCAGTAAAATGTTTACCTTCACAATTTCCCCTTACGGAACACTCCACAAACTACTAGCACTACACTGCTATGTTATTTTTAACATGTTGGCTTTTATGTCACCCTAACACTCAACAACCTAGAATTGTGCAGCAGTCCACACAATTTCTACTCTTCCTTGGTCTTTCTACCAAGACCCATGAGTGGCTGCTGGTTTTCACCCTTTAATCAGCTTCCAATCTTCACCTGTGCCATAAAGCAGCCTTGCTGTGACAGTATACATAGGCCATGCCCTCTGCTCATCTGAAAAGACGAAGATTCACTCCAGGAGTGCTGACCTTTCCTTTCGTCACTGCACTTTGCTATTGCTCAATCTTACCATCGGTTTACACTTGTATTCCTAATTTTTGCTGTTTACTAAATTCCTTACAATTTGTCAACACATTCTGGCCCAGAGATAGCCACAACACATTTTGAAAACTTCCTTTCCAGAGTCCTTTTTTTTTTTTTTTGCCTTTTGACATAATTTTTCTTTCCAAACTTACATCAGTAATATAAAAATGATCCATTAAAAATGGAAATTGTTCTGAAATGACACGCTTAATAAAAGTATTCTAAATCCAGTAGTCTTTACAGATGGGAAATAGCTGCTGAAGCTAATCTGAACCAGGAATGGCTATATTTTTCAACAGCTCTGAGCTATACACCATGTGTACTCTTTTGTTGCAGTTTGTTTGGTTTTAAGCTGAAGAATGGCCTCTCTGGTATTGTAGATCCCAATCATGTCTTGCTGTCTTCTGTTCAGTAAAACAAAGATGCTTCTTCAGCAAGAAAGAATGCACCACCATAAGGATACTCTAAATAGTAAAAATAGTGTTGTAATAATCCACTTGGAGATGGAAGGGGATTCATATCCAAATTGTTTTTTATTTAATTACTTTCAAGTTATTGCCTTAATGAGTCATAGAAACTTTCATCCAAGGGGTATTCATCTGGCACTGAAGTATCTGAATATATTAAGTAAAAGCTTTCTGTTCATCAAATATGAATGTGATGTTTAACCAGGAAATATCTATAAATTATGTCATCCAGGACAATAAAAGTGTCAGCAGTATAAGCTTTGTCCTTTTAGCATATTTTAAATTATGTAAAGAAAAACTGAATGTGGCCTGAAGCAACTACTTCAATTCAAAATGAATTTGTGGTACAGATTTACACAAAACAGATTCCCCACTATTGCTTGTAGATTTTCATAAACACACTACAATTTCAAATTTCACAGGTGTCATACATTTCTAATACAGAGGTAATCAAGTACATGTGTAAGAGCTTGAATTCCATGCAGGTTTCTGCAGACGAAAACAAGGTTTAAAGACAGCATTCTACTGTACACTGACTGTGGTTGGTTTGGTACAATCAGCAAAACCAACACTAGTACAAATGCAATTGGTTTGTGCCTGAGAGTTTGCAATATTGCAGAAGTTATAACTTGATTTCAAAGTTCAGAACTTTGCTCAGAAGCATTTCAAAGTAATCAGCATTAAGGCGTTTCAGTAACAACTATTTCCTAGCAAAAGAAGAAAAGCAAACCATTTAGAATTTCTTTATGCAGGAATATTCTCTCAGATCTTAAAAATCAGATGTATAAAAGAGATGATCTTGTCTCCCTTTCAAGAGGTTCATACTGTGTGCCAAATGTGATATTTTGTGACCTCGGTGCATTCCTCATTTGTATTACACTAATTTTATCTCCTTAATAGAAAGGTAACTTGGATATAATACACACATTTTGATCGGAAAATTCCATCTCTTACACTGTGATCTCTCTACTGCCTCAAAAATTATACTGTTACATGAAATGTACAGTAGAGAAGAAAATTAATGTTACCTATGTGAGAGACTTAAGGCTTAAAGTTTTGTTCAAAATCCTAGCCTGCTAATATATTGATTTCGTGGCTTAATAATAAGACTTTACTGACTGGAGGCATGACCTCGGTATGCAATAAAGTTACGTGATCTGCAACAGTAACCCACTTTCTGAGGCATTAAATCAGTAGCCAGATGGCTGGAACAAACTCAGATTCTCAACATGAAATTTCTACCCTAAAATGGAATACGTATTGCTATTAGTTCTATCCATTTTAAAAATGTCAGATACAGGATATAAATTTAGTATCCTATTATTAAAACACTTTAAGAGTGTTGTGGTTTAACCCCAGCCAGCAGCTAAGCATCACACATCCACCTGAGCTGGAAATATGTATTAACATACCTCTAAATTAAGCACCTCAGTGATGTGTGTAGATGTTTTGTTGCTGCTGCTCAAATTCATTATAATTTGTCTACTGCATCAACCGGTACCTCTAAAACCATCCTGCAAGCACATTTAATGGCTTGTTTACTGAAGGGAACTTTCCACCAAGCACTGGTATACTGATGTTATTAGGCTGATTATCTATAGCTACCACAATGCAATACAAAACCAACATCATCTGTTACAGCTTTTCTCTTTTATTTTCCTTTTTTCTTTTCTTTCCACTGCATAAGACTGGCATTCTCAATTTTATTCAAGAAAAAAGAAATCTAGTTTACTAGGTTATGCTTCAAATGATCATATTACTTTTAGTAGATGAAGTACATGTTACCTGGTCCACAAATAAATCAAGGTTTAATGAAGAAAAACAGCATGAAAAATGAAGATGCTTTTTTCATCTTTACTTTGACAACTTTTCTACATGCTAACTGAAACAAGGTTTTCTATCCTTTTCAGAACTAGTTTTGTGAAATTTTAAACACAACTCAGTCACATGAAAACAAATGTAGAACTTGGCACATTTTATTATTAATAATACATTGGTATTGTAAAGTAACTTTCAAACAAGCATCCAATATGATTCTAAAGCCACTTGAGTAAATTTTCACTACAACAACAAAAGGCACTTTTGCTTCTTTGGAGTCACTGACCACTTAAGTCTGAAACAAAACTGTCCCTCTATGCATCAGAAAACAGTTTAGAGAAACTGATGAAATAATACATGACCAACTTCAAATAAGGAAAAATAAGAACCAAGTTTTAACGTGTTTATTTTAATTATGCAAGAGAATGACTAAGTTTGAATGAATTGTTAAAAGCCCCCAGTGAATAGACAGAACGGTTACTAACAATGATTAAATGATTCCTATGATTACATTGCCTCGAGTCCTGGTGAGGTGATGCAAACATCTGGATTTCCAGTGTAGATCTTAACACAATCTTATAATAAAATCCATCTTCATAATGGCCACTGAGGACTATTACTCTCAGAATACAACTTATGTGCAATTATTCAGTACAACACTTGTATTTTCTGTCATTGACATATCATTGACAAGCTTTACAAGGGTCCTGGGTTTTTTCAGTTTTTCAACATAATTTCCTTTATTCATGTGGTACTACCAACATTTGTCCTTTTCTAACAGCCTACGCTCCCATGTAATTCTGTTCCGTGTATTTTGAGGTGTGCATGAAGTTTCTGGCATTGTATTGGAAGTATTAACTCTACAGACAGCAGGGTCAGAATGTAACAGTTACTTACACTACAGTTACTGTGATCAGTCATTGCTTAGCGTATATGTGCATTACACATTTAAAGAGAAGTACCTGAAAGGACTGCACTCAACTTCATGTCTTCTCATGTTCTAAGATGGGACATACTATGAGTGTAGGTCATTAACGTGGCAGCAACTGGCACACATTCTTAGGACCCTAGGCATGAGATATTTCAGCTTCCTCAGTCAAACAATGCTTGATTATTTTTATTATTTTTTTTTTTTAATACAAAGAAGGACTCTGGTAACAATAATTGCCACAAGCACAGAGTTCTGATGTTTGCCATTGTTCTCGGCAGAAAACAAGTCTATTGGCAGGATATCAATCCTACAGTGGAGTTACATCCAGATCACGCATGGTTAGCTTTCAACAACCTATTCAAACACGAGTATCTGACACTATGTACAGAAACTTGAAGAACTCCTTGTTTACCTAGGTTATGCAAGTGTCATACTCTAAAGATCCACACTGCTGCTTACAGGTTAACAGGAGCACCACCACAGAAGACTACCTACTGTTTATGAGGCACAGAACAGACTTGTAACACTATCTCACTTGAGAAGTAACATTTGGAGACCACATTCCCTGCATCTGTAGGTGATTCACAACAGCTTAAGTAAACATCTATTTGGACAATGTTTTTCTGAGGTGAAGACACACATTCTATGTATTCCTGGAATCCAGATACTGAACTACCTCTGTAATGCTTCCTGCACTACTGCAGCTACCGAAGATTTTGGGTATCAGAGGGAAGAACAAAATAAAAAGCTTCTCCAGAATCACTAATGGCATCTCTCTGCTTATTTTGGGGGAGGATGACTGAAAAGACATTTGGACAGAGTTACCTGGATGGCTTCACAATTCCCTCTCTTAAAGAGGGAATATCAGTATCAAAGCATGGGTGAGACTTCCCACACATATATATGGTTCCATCATCCAGGTGTCAACACTGTGTCTACTGCAGCTCTCGAAGTGACTACAAGTGGCCGTTAGCAGGTTAGCATAAATTGACAATTTATTCACTGGAGATTTAGGATACCGTTTTTCTTCCATTTTCTCTTTCTCAGGCATTGGCTTTGCAAGCCTGAAGTGAGACACCTGAAGGACAAAAGCACTATCATTTTCTTAGATTCCCAGAGATAAGATCTCATTAGACTCAGGAGGGCATGCATATCAAATGTGTTAGCACAGGCTGACTTGCTCGATGCAGCATCAAGTTTTAGTATATGGCATAAAGACTCTATTACATTTAGAAGTTGAGCACCATACCTCATGCCCTGTGATATGCATGAGACCAGAAACGGCAGCTGCAATGGAGTCATATCCACCCCTCTGAACCATTGGACCAGTCTGACCATAACCTAAAATAGGAAGAGAACAATTAGTAATTCAATCAAGGACAAGTACAACATAAACACATATTTCTACTCTAGTATAAAAAGGAAGCAGCTCATCAGCTTCTGTTCACAAGTCCTCCTGACTGTACAATCAAGGAATGCTATGGTATTCTACTCATTCCCACACATTTTTAAGTGAGTAAATGGTTAAATTTATCCTGTGCAGGTTGATGATGTGTTTGATCTTAATTCTAGACAGATTCCTGGCCCTGCTAAGTTTCATTCACTTTGGACAGAATTCCTTTTTTTAATTTTCTGAGTCAGTTGAGGTGGGATTCAGATGTCATTTCAGAGGCTCTATGGTATCTCTACAGGCCTCTAACTGCTGTCCAACAGGGCCCGTGTTGCCTGTGTGATGTCTCCATTCTGCCATAAAGGTATCTTGAATACCACAAACAACACTAAAATCATGACACTATAGTTTAGACACTCCCTTCTCTTACTTGATTCCACAACTAAACAGAGCTACTTTCAAAATAAAACACTATTTACAAAAGGCTGGCCCTTTAGTCAGTACACACAATCTGTTTGCCAAGAGCTAGCAACAATGAAATGCAAAATACAAAAAACCTTTCTAAAATTACACAACTACTGTTTTGTTCAGCTATAGAATTAATTTAGAATTAACGGCTATAGCCAGAAGGATGCTTTCTTGCTTTTCCTCTGCTTTAACTCATCATGTTGTTCTAACAATCACCACAAAATCTTCCAGTTGAGGAGTTCATGAAGGATCAACTGAAGAGGTTACAAATCCACATATCAATCCCATTCCCCTGCCAGGGATTACTGCCTGTCAGTCACAGTATAACCCAGTTATTTAGGGCTGAAACTGGAGGCACTTAATGTACTGGGCCTGTACAATGTAATAAACTTAAGTGGTCAAAGAGCCAAGTCTGGTTTTCTTTTATGTAACCAGTGACCACCAACACAGAGGGGAGAAGTCAACAGGGAAGGAGCAACATGTTTGATTGCTATTATTAGAACTAATAGAAACTGTCAGAGCCATTCAGAATCAGATTTAAGAGGCTCTCCTCCTCAAAGATGTAGCAAATTCAAAGCTACTTTCATGCTTCCTTTTCCCTTTTCAAATATCTCTAGGAGAAATCACCTAATCACAGGAACAGTGAGGAGGTACTTGTCACAGACAAGATTCCTAGTTTGGTTGGCCCTTTTAAGGCAGAGTTTCTGTATTTCTCTTACCTGTGAGGACAGTATTAAAATAAAAATATATTAACATATACTGCAAGATAAAACTTCCCAAATCTCCTAAATTCCTTGTAATTTTTCTCCCAGAATAATCTTCTCTATATACAGACAGTCTGTTTGGTAAATATGACAGTCTAAACAGCTTTGTTGATTACAGCACACAATTAAGAACCATTACTCATTGGGGTAATCTTCCTCAATTCCTCCACTTGGACCAATGCTGTTATACACAAAATTCATAAATTACTTCTAGTATACAGTGCAAGAGAATAATGATCACTTCAAACTGGAGCTAAAGCATTAAAGCACTTTGTTACTCCAATTAATACTTAGTAAATCGCACCAAGCAAGACAACATCCACTAACCACACCCATTTCTCCATTGTACCACAGACTATCTTAATTACCCAACATATTTCTGGGGACACCAGATCCACATTGTGCAAAGCTGAGAAGGAACTCAGCGTCACAGGGACCATCGGGAGACTACAGCCCAGTACATTGACTTTGTCAATGTAGCCTCAAAACACACATTTTGGAAGAAAAGGATTCAAGAATTTTCTTATGGCCAAATATGAATCTTACTGACTTCACTACTCAGAAGAAAGAAGAAAAAAAAACCTACCAGTTCATCCCGTTTTATCTGAAAACATCTCTGACAACAGCTGACTGACACCTTATAGAGCAACTGGTGACATTTCCTTTCATATTTACACCCTTAAGTTTACAGAAAACAACAGTATTTTCATTTTCAAACATAACAGGACTAGCAAATAAAATATGGTGGATCCACCCAAAAATGCTCTGAAGGGCTATAACTAGGCATATACCATTATCTCATTGGAATGAACTGTAGCATTAAAACCATTTAAACGTGTGGGGCCACTTCAAAAACAAAATCTTGCTCAATAAAAAAAAATACTCAAAACAACTTTAATTGAATAGTGAAAAGCATATTGAAGTAAGTGAGAAATTATGTACTGGCCTCAGTTATTAAGAAAGAAAAGACATCTCAACACGTCTACTCACACAAATGTTTTCATAAACAGAAAACATCTGAAGATTAAGCATTTAGTATGTAGACAGAACAACTATCAAACGCTTTGCAATGCTCTTCTGGTAAGGACAAACACCCATCCCTCAAACACTAGATTCAGGAAAGGTAACAGGGAACAAGTCATTCATTTTACTAGTGGTATTTAAGAAATACAATTTTTTAGTCCTTTTCACATATTGTAACAGCCTGGTTTCAAAAGAAAAGTTTTTATTTAATGGCTTTCTGGTTAAAATTAGAGGTTCTAAAAAGTGTTTAATTAGCCTCCACAGGTCACAATAGATTAAAAATAAAAAAATACTAATTCTGCTTTTGATCTGAGTTCTGAATTGACAAAGCTACTGTGAGGACAAAATTTGTTGTCACTGGAAATGGTTTGCCCCAGAAACCATGAACATATAAAATGCCTGCAAGACGTGGTAGCCATCTAACTCTAAGAGTTAGGTAACAAATAGCTATTTCTAAAAATGAAAGATCTCCTTATCCAGACAAAAATCAAAGGCCAAACATTATTATTCTAGTGAACTACACAGGTCAATGGACCAATCCAGTACAGATGTTTTAGAAATAACTATGAACACAAGTACAAAAAGTTTGAAGGAGAGCACAACATTACATTCAGAAAGTTTTCAGCCTGGTGCACAGATCTCACCATAACTGTAATATATACACACACACGCATATATGTGTATATATACACATACACATGTACATATGTCGATATATGTATGCATATGTATATATACACACATATACATATTTATGTTTATATTTATAAATATAGAAAACAACTTCTTGAAGATATAAAAATGCCACCTGACATTTATGTTTGTCCAAATACTCTGCATGCTCTCACACTTGTATCCAGCATGCAAAAGCACAGATCTGCAGCTACGCACGCTTAGTCCTAAATATAGGTTCCTGTTTAATACAACGCAGTTAGTGGCTTATCAAGTTTAGGTACAACGGAAAATACTTTGGGCTAAAAGGATAATCCCTGCTGAATATGGAAAGAATAGACTTGACAGGGATGGTCTCTGCAGATGAACAAGGCAAGTGATCCCACTCTTGCTCTGAACTGCCCTCTGGTGGAGTTTCCTTCCTTAGGCTACGGGCAATGTTTAAACAGTCTCTCCAGCAGAGAAATTTAGTCCCTTAAATATTTCAGAGGACAGACAAAAGAATTTAAAACTTAATTTAATAAAACTGAGAGCTTTCTAAATCATTTCAGCTGGGAAGGGTACTGCGTAGATGCCTAGTCTCATGTAAAGCTTTAGATTTGTGTAAAATGAAATCTGGAAAGAACAAAAGAAATTTGTACCCCCCCCAAATACCTATTCAGCTGCCAAAACCCCTATTCTACACCTTGCACGAGGAAGGCACAATTTATTCTGCTACCTGCCACATCCTCATGTACCTAGATCTCAAAGTTGTTGCAGTATGAGCTGTTTTGCTCTACTGCGAAATGTACACCCTGCAAAACGTACACCCGTTTCACAATCAAACTGGTTACAAGACGCAGCAAACCCCAGCCAGATCTGCAAGTGCCTCCTAAAAACTGTCATTCTCAAAGCATTATTTAACATTATTTGAAAACACCAGAAACGCAAACTCTAGCTGTCCACTAAAGGACTATTTGCTTACTCAGCACAGTCACACCGAAATCTTCCTGCTCCTGCCCTGAGACCCTGCAGCCAAGTCTGTCTTCTACATACAAAGAAAGTGTACTTTTAGTGTCTTTATCTTTTTGTGAGGAAAAAAAAAAATTAACTGGGTATGAGACAAGTATGGAAGAACAAGTTTTGTACTGGCTACTTTTTAAGGGAAACACAGGCCTTCACGGTGGGCATTTACAAAGCGAATGCCACAGCCTTCCACCAGCAATCCTGCATCCTTATCTCAGACAAGAATGGAGAAAACCACCTCACTGGCTATATTCAGCATCCTCTGTTTTTCTGAACTTTCCAAGTGGTGAAAGACAAATCTGCAGCTGAAAACTGTGAAAGAATATTCTTAACTAAGTTCTCCACCATCTCTCTTTGTTAGTCTGCAGCCTAACATAAGCGTATGAATATTCAAAATGTGACAAGCTTAGTGTGATATAAAAAAAGGATATCTCTGTGTATCTACTTTTTCCATATTTGGGGGAATGTGACAATTAAAGTTCCATAAAATAAAGTGGCTAATATGGAATAATGTAGCTCAAAATTGTTCTAGAAAAGCATCCAGTTGTTTGACGGCCCAATCTTTCATACAGAGCAACAAGAGAAGACTCAAGATGCCTGAAAAAATATTTATCTAGCAAAACTGAAAGATAATCAAGTCAAGATAAACAGAAGATTATAACAGCACCTCATTACTAGCTGAGGGCATTACAGAAGTGACTTTATGCAAGAGACTAATAGCAACTGATTGAAGATTCATTTGGTAAAATGAACTGAAACAAATAAATTTCTCATAAATACTGGCTATATATACCCATTCCAATTAAAACTAAGAGTGAGACTGCTGCTATGATCTGATTAAATTGTATCGTTATTAATACATCACTATTCCTGACAAAGGGAAGGACTGAAAGTATTTCTTTCATCATGATTTTTCTAGTTGGATCAGAGAGGCCAAGTAAAATAAAGACTCTTCAATGGGAAATAAATCTCAGCTACTTCTCTACGTTTGGTGTGACATTCCTGCTCTGATGAAAGGG